TATATAAAATAATAATAATAATAATAATTTAAATTAATTTGAAAGCTTAAATGTCAAAAGTAGGAAGGTCAAAAACCAAAAGTCAAAATGTGAAAGGTCAAAGGTTAAAAGGTGAAAGGTCAAAGGACAAAAGAATTAATCTTATGTCTCATCTCAAGCCTATAAATATAGGTCATAGATGAGGGAAAGAATCACCAGTGAGGAGAAGGAGAAGAAGAAAGAGAGAAGAAGAGTAGAGAGGAGTCTTCTGGTAGTGAGATTTTCCTCAAAAAATAAAGCCGTCTTGCATTGCAGTGAAGAGTTGCAGTGATGACATGTGATGGAGAGTTGTAACAGAGTTATGACAAAGAGTTGAGATAAAGAGGAAAGTCGTGGTCTTCCTGCGTAGTAGGCAAACAACGTGATCTTTTTTCATGTTGTGTTGAAAAGAAAAGTTGTCCCCATCCTTCATAGCATACGAACAACAAGATCTTCTTTTACGTTGCGGTGAAGAGAAAAATTGTCCCCTTCTTGCGTTGCAGGCAAAAAACATGATCTTCTTTCACATTGCGGTGATGAGGGAAGTTGTCCCGTGTCTGAGAGATAGAGAGAGGGTATTTGATGCAAAAAAATTGCCCCCCTTCTCCCAATGCCCTCCTTTTATACATGTTTAACCGTAATACTAAAATATGAGTCACAATTTCTAAAATTTGTTGATGGTGTTTAAATGAAAAGATTGTCTTATGGGCTTCAGATGACTCATAAAGAAAAATATGACCTACGTCAATCATTGGCCTAGATCTTGACCTTTAGCGCTCTATCAATTTTTAGTATTACTGTTGAGGCGAGCTTGGCGGATGAATATGATTGATCGGTCCGATGGGTGAATCCAACATGACAATTCGTCAAGTTAGTTTGACATTTGGTACAAGACAGCAGACATATCGAAGAGTATGGTCAGCAAATCACCTCAACAGATAATTTCAGTGATGATTTTATCTCTTAGATAGATAGGCTTATCATGCCCATAAAGCCAGCTATACACATGCTTTATCCCACACAAGCAAATTTTTGGTATATAGAGATAATTTTTAGGGAGCTTCTTAAAAGAATTTTGAGGTATTTTGGCGAATATTGATTCTTAGAGATTTCATAATCAACTCATTGTAACCACTCATTTTTTAGTAATAAAAATCCCATGAAAGCATTCATCTTCCTTATGATTCTTTTCTTCTCTTTTGGTTTTTCACTCCCTGCGCATTTTTTTACTAAATGCTGTATCCAAGAACATTTGTCAAACAACACATTTTCTTAGCACTTTTAACATCTTTAGGTTTTGGGCTGGTTTCTTTGTGCGACTTTACCCTTGACAGACACTTAGAACTTACAGGGTAGCAACTTATTAAATTTGGTTCATTTTTTAGGGCAATTTTATTGATATAATTTATGCAATTATTGGTCCACACTATATATTTATTCATTTTATATATTTCGAGAGAATATAAAAATGATAAAATAATAAAAAATTTATAGTAGCAAAAATTTAGGTGAGATGGCATATTAGCTATGATTGATTACAATAATTCGATTACTTTTGCCATACACATGTTTATAATGTAAATGTTATATATTTGCATTATCAACTCATTTTAAAGTTATTTTATCATTATATTTATTTATCTTTTTTTCTATTATGTGTTATACCTACTTTTTTTGTAGGCGTGAACAAACTTAATGATCTCATGTTCAAAGAACTCTCTAGTTCATAAAGTATTTATAATTCTAACAGACTCATAATAACAATAAGGCTTGTAAGAAATATACGAGTCAAGTAAAATTGTAACCTAATTTGCCTCAAAAGAAATCGTTGTGGAGGATTAAAAAAGATTAATTCAAGACACTTTGATTGATCATTCAGATTCTTTTAGACTTTGTAGCCTTGTGGATGCACCCTAAGAATATTTTTATTCAATATATCATTACTATGCTAGCCAAGAAGACTAAGAGTCTTCTAGATAAATATGGGATATAACTATAAAAATTATATGAGTTAACTCTTATATATTGTTTAATAAAGTATAGTTGAAGTAGTGCATGATGTTGAAAAAAAGACTTGTTTTTTTCATATATTTCAAACTATTAATGATTTATTGAATTAAATATTTTTCTTAATGAACCTTACGTAGGTGGTCTCTATAAGAAAATTTTAGCTATTGAGGATTTGTTTGGTTGTCTGAGTTCTAAGAGTCCTTCCATTCTTGACGCGACTTCATTGAAGCATTCAATTGAAAAAGACTTAACCATTACGAAGGAGAATAATCGACTAACGGTCTGTTTGGGGTAGCTAAAACTTATTGAATAATCTGCTGATAATCTATGTGTGGTGGCTATTACAAATTTTAACTTTTTTAGAAAAGTCAGACCGTAGCTAGAAAGCTCCCACCACACCTAGTTAGGAGTGGTATGAAAACGCTATTTTCAGCGTTTTGAAAACATTTAAGCTGCCAAAACGCAATTTATCCAAACAGACCTGGTGCATTTTCAAAATGTCACCACACCAAATAAACTGCCCCAAATGAGCCCTAAGTTGATAAATTGCTTCAGAGCTTTGAATTCAATAAGGAGACCAACAAAGCTAGCTCACATGTTTGGCCGATTAGAGTCGTGATAAGGGTAAGAAGGGGATTGTTCAATCTCACATTGAAAAAAACTCAGAGGCAAATATATTTGTTCGGATTATGCCAAGAGGGAAATTAAATACAATAATATCAATTATGAGGTTTTCATATTTAATTGTCATGATCATAATAATATAATTTATAATTATGCTTAAGGTGATGTTTAAAAAATTTGATTTATTAAGCAATTTGTTATGCTTAAAGTTTCATGAGAATTTGAGATATGATAATAACTAAGATAACAACTTGTTTGATAATGTGGTTTTACGTTTTCTTTTACATAGATTATATTCAAAATTGAATCCAACAGTCCACATCTATTTCTTTTAATTAATTTTAACGAGTCAATTTCGAGCCAAACAAGAACTAGTATATTTAAATCAAGTAAAACACAAATGTACAGTTCACGAGCCAATTTCGAACGAGCCGAACACAAGCCATGCCTTAACTCGCTCAAGCTCGGCTTGTTTACATCCCTAAAGACAAATGTGACATGCAAGCCCTAAAGACAAATGTGACATGTAGGGATAGAGACGTGATTCCCACAGGTGGCCGCCAATACTTGAAACAAGCATGCATACTTCTTTTCCATTAAAATGCCCAATTAAATTTAGCAGAACCCATCTCTGGGACTCAATTAAAGTTTCTAAGAAAACAAGGAAATTGTTTTTATGTTTTATTCATAACTCAAAAAAGAATTTCATTGACTGAGTATTTATTAATGACCCAAAACCCCAAAAAAAAAAAACCTTTACCTAATTTCAAACTAGAACTAGACCCAATCTTCGCTGCCAAAAGCGAATAACAGCAGCCATAACAAGTATAACACCAACGGTAACAAATTCAAATCCCATATAAACCCACATTCACCTTTACTCCATGCCATACTTCTTCCTAAGATATCCCACAAACTCATAGATTTTCTTCGGCTCATACAGAGTCTTTGCCACGCTCTCTCGCTCCAAGCAGCGCTTCGCCCACGCCACCAGATTTGAACTCTCCTGCTCTACGCTGAATCCGGCGAGAGTTTGGTAGCTGTAGAACCAACTTGTGAAGGGAACCAGAGCAATGTCGACCAGCCCGAAGGCATCGCCGCCGAAATACTTCTTGTCACCGAGCTCGGCTTCCAGCGTCTTCAAGATCTGGATGAATTCTTTTTTCGCTTTCTGCAAGGCCTCGCTTTTCTGTTTCCACAGCTTAGTGCCACATTCGAAGAACTGCACAAAAAGAAGGCTTCCGGTGAGTGACGGTCGACGGTGATAGGTGTGATCAATGACGATCAATGGTGATTGACGATGATCAGTAGTGCTCGAATAGTTAGCCAGCTTATTCGCAACAGCTTCTGCGCAGCAGTTAGCCATGATGGCTGCTGCTGGAGCCCCAAACAGACCCATGTTTTTTTAGTTTACCTTATTTATTGGTTGTAGTACAAAGAAGTAAGCATATTAAAGAATTTGGTTTTTATTTTTGGAAGATTTTATACATATCACTCAACTCTTATGTATTTACATGTGAACACGCCTAAATTTCAACGTTTTACATTTTAACGGGGCTAAGAAATAAAGTTTAGGTGTTAGATATTAAATTCATAAGAATTGGGTGGTGTATATGTAAATGCCACTTTCTTTTATTGTTTTCTGCTGTATTTACGTATAGTAATATTGATATGTATTATATATATAAGAATGATCGGAGGCTATTAAATGAGTTCTAAGTCGCCCTCTTGTTCATAATTATTCTAGGATCGCCCTCACTATTGACAAACTGGCTAGATGATGATTCAGAATAATACAAAAACTATTAAAATATGGAGAAAAAAACTATTAAAATATAATTTAGTAATATGATAATATTCTTTTTAAAGTTGAGAGGACATATTTCACGAGATAGGTCATCCTCTAGGGATACTCACCACGCCCGTTCACTCTCAGCAGTATGATCTTCCAGCATTTTTGCCACCCGGAAAAATTATTGTTCTTTGTGATTCTCCGCGGACACATTTAGAACTGTCTCCCATAACTATGTGGCTCACGTGAGGTCAACATGTAACTCTGAAGTCAACAGTGGCAGATCACTCCTCGGGAGGTGTTCAAAATCCTTGAACTCGTATCTCCTGAATGTTGAAATCGCTCTATCGCTGTTCTCATTGACTCATTCTATGACAAAATGTAAATGATTATTGCTAACATCTCTCTAATTATCATTCTTGAGGAGTCATGAATTCCATGATTTATATATAGTTCATCGAGCATATCCATAAATATAGTATGTGTTATACGAAACATGCGGTTGAATCTTGGAAGGTGTCCTTCTAGTAGCTCCCCAACCCATTTATTACCAATATAAGGTGATGTCATGCAGGGAGTTTGATCGACGTATGAGTTGTAGTATTCGTAAAACAAACAAACTGCTGTCACAATTTCTCTTCTGTGCCTTTCATTTTGTGAATCCATGTTTAATAAGTGCTATGTTCAGATAATACATTTGAATCAAACAACATTAATAAACATCGAAAATCAAATCACAAAGCATAAAATCAAACATCCAAATTTGAAATTTGATAAAACTACTTAAATACAGAATAACATATATATTAGATTATTCCTAAGAGAATGAAAAAGCATCCAAATCACAAATTCCATAAAATTACAAGAAAATAAATCCAAATAATACAACAATAACTGCATAAAATAAAACTTTCTTGCTGTAAGGAAAAAAAAATGTAAATAATTGACCATGCGTTCAGGGGCTATCTTCACAAAGAGTTATTTGCGAGTTGGGTCCTCCAACAACTTCAATGTGTTTAAATATAACGACGTCCTCATAAACTTCAGGAGTTAACTCCATAACTCGGATAAAGTCGTCTATGGAGGTCGCATGTGAAGGTCTAGACTCGGTCGTGCATGAAGCCACCATTTTCAACTCCTTTTTTTTTTCTTTTTTCTCCACCCTAGGAAGATTTGACATGTTTGTGGACTCATGTTCATTTTGTTTTTGGCTTGGGTCTTCACTAGAGCCAGTTACTAGCACGACATCCAACTCCTCTGGTATGACTGCAAACCCGTGATCACTAGGGGATCCAGACATTAATCCCCGTTGCCACAACCCCAGCAAACATACGGTCTAATTTTTTTCCCATATCAAGACCAATTCCATTGAATTTAAATTTCTTAACTGCTGGGCACTACTTGCAATATCCAAACAAATTTATTACTTCAAATAGTTCATGAAAAGAAAGTAATGAAAATCAAGTCTTTCATAGATAAGTTATTACCTCTAATTTCTAATCCAATCATTCATTTGAAGTATCAATAGTCCGTTTGATTAGATCATAACACAAGCTTGTGAATCCTTATTTTAATTTCTTCCATAATTTTCAATCAATTTTCAACTGATCTATTTTGTTCTTAAGTTTGTTTTACTTTTTTGATGGTTCAACACTAAACGTTTACAGCATCCTAAAATTACACACACCCCACATCCACCTTCA